TGGGGATTCCTTGGGGATATTTTGGGGTGTATTTGGGATTTTGGGGATATTTTGGGGCGGATTTGGGGATATTTTCGGGTGAATTTAGGGAGGTTTGGGAGGATTTAAAGATATTTTGGGTGCATTTGGGGATGTTTTGGGAGGGTTTGGGGAGGTTTGGATGGATTTGGGGATGGTTGGGGAGGATTGGGGGATATTTCGGGAGGATTTCGGGATATTTTGGGTGGATTTAGGGAGGTTTGGGTAGATTTGGGAATATTTTGGGAGGACTTGGGGATGTTTTCGGCAGTTTGAGGAGGTTTTGGGCGGAGTTGGGGATATTTGGGTGGGTTTTGGGATATTTTGGGTGGATATGTGGCTATTTTGAGTGGATATGGGGAGCATTTGAGTGGATTTTGGGATATTTTGGGTGGATACATGGATATTTTGGGACCCCGCGGCCCGGGCCGCCCCGCAGAGCTCAGGCCACGCCCACTGCGCTGGAGCCACGCCCACTGGGGGGGTGAGGGCCACGCCCCCTTAGCGCGGCCGCAGCCGCTGCGGCGGAGGGCGAGGCCACGCCCACAGAGCCATTGGCCACGCCCACTTAACCCTCAGGGCCCCTCAGCCTCAGTGGCCACGCCCACAGCCACGCCCACTTAACAACGGGGGCGTCCGCAGCCGCAGAGGCCACGCCCATCACACTGAAGCCACGCCCTCATTCTACCAGGCCACGCCCCCTCCGCCCCGCCCCGGTCCCGCGGGGATTTGGGGGAATTTCGGGGGAATTTCGGGGGGATTTGGGGGAAAATCCCGGGGTTTTGGGGGATTTGGGGGAATTTCGGGGGAATTTCGGGGGGATTTGGGGGAAAATCCCGGGGTTTTGGGGGATTTGGGGGAATTTCGGGGGAATTTCGGGGGGATTTGGGGGAAAATCCCGGGGTTTTGGGGGATTTGGGGGAATTTCGGGGGAATTTCGGGGGGATTTGGGGGAAAATCCCGGGGTTTTGGGGGATTTGGGGGAATTTCGGGGGAATTTCGGGGGGATTTGGGGGAAAATCCCGGGGTTTTGGGGGATTTGGGGGAATTTCGGGGGAATTTCGGGGGGATTTGGGGGAAAATCCCGGGGTTTTGGGGGATTTGGGGGAATTTCGGGGGAATTTCGGGGGGATTTGGGGGAAAATCCCGGGGTTTTGGGGGATTTGGGGGAATTTCGGGGGAATTTCGGGGGGATTTGGGGGAAAATCCCGGGGTTTTGGGGGATTTGGGGGAATTTCGGGGGAATTTCGGGGGGATTTGGGGGAAAATCCCGGGGTTTTGGGGGATTTGGGGGAATTTCATTTGGAGACGTTCGGGCGCTGTGGGCGGGGCTTGAGCTCAGACCACGCCCCCGCCCCGCCCCAACAAACCAAAACAAGCGGGCGCCCAACATGGCCACGCCCACCACGTAAACCCCGCCCCCTCTCCGCTCAGCCAATCCCTGCCCTCTCCCGGCCCACAAACCCCGCCCCCTCCCTCAGGCCACGCCCCTCCGCAGCCGTTACCCCTTGGCGGGCGAACCCCCTCCCTCTGTAACCCCGCCCCGCCCTCCTATTGGCTGTCCCTGCACCAGCACCGCGCTCCCATTGGCCGATCCTCTCGGGGGCGGGGCCACCCCTCCCAACTCGCCCCGCCATTGGCCGCGGCGCGGGGCCCAATGGGCGCGCGGCGGTTTGAAGGCGCGCGGGACAAGATGGCGCCGCCGCCTCAGGACGGTCCCGCTGCGCTCCCGGCGCCGCGCCCGGGCCCGCGCCCGGGGACCTCGCGGCTGCCGGTGGCCCGGGGCCAGGAGAAGCGGGGCCCGCCCGAGGGCCCGCCCGCGGCGCCTCCCCAGCAGGTGCGGAGCCCTCCCCGCGCGGGTTCTCTCCGCCCGGCCCGGCCCCGGCGCCGCCTGACGCCGTTTGTTCCCTGACAGAAACGATCGCGGACCGGGCTCGGGCCCGGCGGCGCCAAGGCCGCGCCCAAGGCCCCGCTGCGGGCCCCGCTCCGCACCCTGGGCCCCGCGGCGGCGGCGGGGAAGAACGGTACGGGGGCACCGCGGGGCGGGAAGGGGCGCCGGGGCCGGCACGGGGGGTTTAGGGCGGGATTTAGAGGGGGATTTGGGGGAGTTCAATGGGGCTTGGGGCATTTAGAGGGGGGACTGGGGCAGTTCGAGGGGACTTGTGGGGATTTGGGGCAGTTCAGGGTCTGGGGCAGTTCAGGGGATTTGGGGCAGTTCAGGGGGTTTGGGGCAGTTCAGGGGATTTGGGGACTCGGGGCTTTGGGGACATTGGGATGTTAAAGGGGGGTTTGAGGGGGTCAAGGGGTTCAAACCCCCCAATGTCCGTGTGTCCCCATGTCCCTGTCCCCAATGTCCCTGTGTCCCCCATGTCCCTGTCCCCAATGTCCGTGTGTCCCCATGTCCCTGTGTCCCCATGTCCGTGTGTCCCCAGATGGTCCCCGCAAGGCAGCGTCGGTGGCGGCTGCTCCTCGGGCAGGTGAGCCCTGAGACCCCCCGGTGTCCCCAGGACCCTCCCCTGTGTCCCCAACCCCTCCCCGGTGTCCCCAGGACCCTCCCCAGTGTCCCCAACCCCTCCCCGGTGTCCCCAGGACCCCTCCTCAGTGTCCCCAACCCCTCCCCAATGTCCCCAACTCTTCCCCGGTGTCCCCAGGACCCCCCTTCCTTGTCCCCAGTTCCTTTCCTGATGTCCCCAAGGTGCCCCTCCCCTGTCCCCAGTGTCCCCAGGTCCCTCTCCTGTGCCCCAGGATCCCCTTCTGATGTCCCCCTGATGTCCCCAGGGTCCCCTTTGACACCCCCAAGCCCCCTCATTGTCCCCAAGGCCACTCTTTCCCTGTCCCCAGTGTCCCCAAGGCCCTCCTGATGTCCCCAGCCCTCTTCCCAATGTCCCCAGCCCTTCCCAGTGTCCCCAAAGCCCAGGACCTCACGGCCCCAAGGCTCCCTCACAATGTCCCCAAGCCCCTCCCTGATGTCCCCACTGCCCTCCTGATGTCCCCCATCCCTTTCCCAATGTCCCCGCTCCCCTCCGGGTGTCCCCACTCCCCCCACAATGTCCCCAAGCCCCTCCCAATGTCCCCGCTGCCCTTCCTGACATCCTCAGTTCCCTCCCGATGTCCCCAAGCCCCTTCCAATGTCCCCGCTGCCCTTCCTGACATCCTCAGTTCCCTCCCGATGTCCCCAAGCCCCTTCCAATGTCCCACTCCCCCTCCCAGTGTCCCCCCTCCCCCTCCCGATGTCCCCAAGCCCCTCCCAGTGCCCCAAATCCCCTCCCCATGTCCCCACTCCCCGATGTCCCCCGTCCCTTTCCCGTGTCCCCACTCGCCTCCCGAGGTCCCCACTCCCCCTCCCGATGTCCCCAAGCCCCTCCCCATGTCCCCACTTCCTGATGTCCCCCGTCCCTTTCCCATGTCCCCACTCCCCCTCCCGTGTCCCCAGTCCCTCCCATGTCCCCAGTCCCTCCCGTGTCCCCACTCCCCCTCCTGATGTCCTCCTGATGTCCCCAATCCCCCTCCCGATGTCCCCCCTTCCCCTCCCGATGTCCCCAGTCCCCTCCCGATGTCCCCAACCCCCGCCGTGTCCCCATTCCCCTCCCGATGTCCCCAACCCCGCCCCGTGTCCCCCCCAGGCTCTGCCACCAGCACAGCGAGTGCCAAGGGCGCCTCCAAGCGGCCGCCGTGGGACCTGCGGGGACAGCTCGGGGACCTGCGGGGGGCGCTGGGCCAGGCCCAGGAGCGGCTGCAGGGGCTGGACAGCGAGAAACGGGAGCTGGAGAGCGAGAAACAGGAGCTGAGGGAGCGCCTGCAGCAGCTGCAGAGCGAGCTGGGCCAGAGCGAGAGCAGGGAGAGCAGCCTGAGCACCAGGGTCGGGTGAGGAACGGAGCAAAACCTACCAAAATCTGCTGAAATCCACTTAAAACTGCCCCAAAATCCATCCACATCCCCCTGCTGAGGGAGCTGGGCCAGAGGGAGAGCAGGGAGAGCAGCCTGTGCACCAGGGTCGGGTGAGGAGTGAGCCAAAATCCTGGAAATCTGCACCAAAATCTGCTTAAAGCTGCACCAAATCCATCAAAACTGCCCAAAATCGCGAAAAACTGTCCCAAAATCCTGAAAAACCTGACCAAATTCCATCCAAACTGCCCCAAAATCCATCCACATCCCCCTGCTGAGGGAGCAGCTGCAGAGGGAGAGCAGCCTCTGCACCAGGGTCAGGAGGAACACACCAAAACCCTGAAAAACTGCCCCAAAATCCTGGAAAACTGCCTCAAAATCATCCAAACTGCACCGAAATCCATCAAAATTGTTCCAAAATCCTCCAAATTCTTACCAAAATCCATAAAAACTGCCTCAAAATCATCCAAACTGCACCGAAATCCATCAAAATTGTTCCAAAATCCTCCAAATTCTTACCAAAATCCATAAAAACTGCCTCAAAATCATCCAAACTGCCCCAAAATCCATCCAAACCTGAGCAAAACCCTTCCAAACTGCCCCAAAATCCATCCAAACCCCCCTGCTGAGAGAGCAGCTGCAGAGGGAGAGCAGCCTCTGCACCAGGGTCAGGAGGAACACACCAAAACCCTGAAAAACTGCCCCAAAATCCTGGAAAACTGCCTCAAAATCATCCAAACTGCACCGAAATCCATCAAAATTGTTCCAAAATCCTCCAAATTCTTACCAAAATCCATAAAAACTGCCTCAAAATCATCCAAACTGCCCCAAAATCCATCCAAATCTGAGCAAAACCCCTCCAAACTGCCCCAAAACCCCTCCAAACTGCCCCAAAATCTGCCAAAACCTGATCAAAATTCCTCAAAACTGCCCCAAAAAACTGCCTCAAAATCATCCAAACTGCCCCAAAATCCATCCAAACCTGAGCAAAACCCTTCCAAACTGCCCCAAAATCCATCCAAACTGCCACAAAATCTGCCAAAACCTGATCAAAACCCTTCCAAACTGCCCCAAAACCCCTCCAAACTGCCCCAAAATCTGCCAAAACCTGATCAAAATTCCTCAAAACTGCCCCAAAAGCCATGAAAAACTTTCCAGAATCCCTCAAAACTGCCTCAAAATCCATCAAAGCTTGACCAAAATCCGTCCAAAACTACCCAAGATCCATAAAAACTGCCCCAAATCCCTTAAAATCTTGCTCTGGAAGGAGCGGGAATGCTGAGAAAAAAACAAACCCAAATTCCATCTGAAGATCCCTCCTGATGTTCTCTAAAACCTTCCTAAAATGTGAGTTTTCCTAGATCTTCTCAAGATCCCCTCAAAATTTCTCCTTCAAAAGATCCGGCAATTCTCCCAAAATCCCCCAAATTATCCCACATTCCCCCCCAAATTTTCCTTTGGAATTCGAGATCCCCAAAATTCCCTCAGAACTCTTCAGAAAATCTCCGAAATTTCCCTGAATAGCCCCAAAATTCCCTCAGCCAATTTGAAAATCCCTGAAATTTCTTAAAATTTCCCCAAAACCCCTGAAGATCCCCAAAATTCCCTCAGAACCTTTCCAACAATCCCTGAAATTTGCCTGAATTGCTCCAAAACGCTTAAACATCCCCAAGAATTTGCTCAGAACCCTTCCAAAAATCCCTGAAATTATCCTGAATCCCTTCAAACTCCCTCAAGATCCCCAAAATTCCCTCAGAACCCTTCGGAAAATCCCTGAAATTTCTCAAAATCCCCTCAAAACCCCTGAAGATCCCCAAAATTCCCTCAGAACCCTTTGGAAAAATCCCTGAAATTTCCCCAAAACCCCTGAAGATCCCCAAAATTCCCTCAGAACCCTTTGGAAAATCCCTGAAATTTCTCGAAATCCCCTCAAAACCCCTGAAGACCCCAATAATTCCCTCAGAACCCTTTGGAAAATCCCTGAAATTTCTCAAAATCCCCTCAAAACCCCTGAAGATCCCAATAATTCCCTCAGAACCCTTTGGAAAATCCCTGAAATTTCTCGAAATCCCCTCAAAACCCCTGAAGACCCCAATAATTCCCTCAAAACCCTTTGGAAAAGTCCCTGAAAATTCCCCAAATCCCCTCACGATCTCCAAAACTCCCTCAGAACCCTCCTGAACACTGCGCAAAATCCCCGGATTACCCCAAAACCCCTCAAGAAAATTACCTGAAATGCCTCCAAGTCCCCCAAAATCCGGGATTCCCCAATTTTATGGATTGTCGTTTCCCCGGAGCAGCTCCCTGGAGCTGGAGGTGTCGCAGTGCCGTGAGCAGCTGGAGCAGAGCCGGGGCCGGGAGGAGGCTCTGGAGGCCAAGGTGCAGCAGCTGCAGGCGGAGGAGGAGAAGCGGCGGCAGGAGAGGGACGAAGCCCTGGGCCGGGCTCAGGCGCTCTCAGAGCAGCTGGAGAGCACTGAGGTGAGGCCCAGGATTCCTGAGAAATCCCTGAAAAAACGGGAATTTGGAGCCGTTTTGTTGCTCTCTGGTCAGGGATCCGTTGAGGGAAGGGTTGGCAAAAAATGGCGGGAAGCTGTGAGGGGAAAATCCACCAGGGGGCGCCAAAAAAAAAGGGCGGGAAAATGAGGGGTTGGCACCAATTCGGGCTTTTTTGGCACCAAAATCGCCCTGAAAGTGCCTTGAAATGTGGCAGAAATGGGAATTTTCACCAATTCGGCTGCTTCTGGCCCCAAAATCTCTCAAGGGTTCCTGAAAATGTGTAAAAGCCTGGGATTTTGGAGCTGTTTTGTTGCTCTCTGACCTGAAATCCGTCAAGAGGGTGCCAAAAAAAGGCAGGAAAATGTGGGGTTTGTGTAAATCCGGCTTTCCTGGGGTCAAAATCCTTCAGGGAAACTTTAAAACTTGGGAAAGATGGAAGGTTTCACTAATTCAGCTGCTTTTGCACCCAAAATCCCTCTGGGGGTGCTTCAAAAATCTGGAAAAACCCAGGAATTTGGATATGTTCTATTGCTCTGGGGGGCCAGAAAAATGCAGGAAAATGTGGGATTTATGCCAATTCCAGCTTGTTTGGTGTGGGAATCCCGCAGGGGGTTCCTCAAAATTTGAAAAAAAGGTGAATTTTCGCCATTTCAGCTGCTTTCACACTCAAAATCCTTCAGGGGATGATTCAAAATCCACAAAAACCTGGGAATTTGGAGCCGTTTTGTTGCTCCAGAGGCCCCAGAAAACAGCAGGAAAATGAGGGTTTGTGGCAATTCTGGCTTTTTGGCGTCAAAAATTCTTCAGAGGATTCCTCACAATGGGGGAAAAATACGAATTTTTACCAATTCAGCTGCTTTTGCAAGCAAAATCCCTCAGGGTGCTTCAAAGTTAATGAAAAACTGGGATTTTGGAGCTGTTCAGTCGCTCTCCAGGCTGAAACTCACCAGGACCGCCAGAAAAAGTTGGAAAAATGAGGGGAAAAATTGTGTCAATTTGGGATTTTTTGGTATCAAAATTTCTCAGGGAGTGCCTAAAAATGCAGGGGAAATTTTGAAAAATGGAAATTTTCAACAACTCAACTGATTTCGCAGCCGAAATCCCTCAGGGTGTTCAAAACGTGGGGAAGAAATGGGAATTGAAATTATTTTTACTGGGTTGGTTTCAACTCGAGATCCGCTAGGGGGCGCCAAAAAAAGGCGGGAAAGTGAGGGCTTTGCGTGGATTGTGGCGAAATCCCTCAGAAAACGCCTCAAAAGATGGGAATTTACATCAATTTCGCTCATTTTAACCCCAAATCCCTTGGGGAATGTCAGCGAATCTGCAAAATATGAGGAAAACCGGGATTTTTTTTTTTTTGCCAGTTTCTCTACTGAGCGCCTCAGAAGAGAGGGGGGGAAATGGGGATTTTTAGGGGTTTTTGCATTTTCCGCCCCCAGGCGCAGCTGCATGAGGTGCAGCAGCAGCTGCAGGAGAAGCAGGATCAGGTGTCAGCGCTGCAGGAGCTGGAGGCCTCGCAGAGGACGCTGCTGGCCGAGCACGAGGAGCGCATCCACCTGCTGGAGATGGAGCGGCGCCGCCTGCACAACGACATCCAGGAGCTCAGGGTAGGATGCTGGGGGTTTTTTCAGAGGAATGGCCACGTGTTCTGTGGGAGAGTTCTCGAGGGGGGAGGCCCCTGAGGGATGAATCCCTTTTTTGTGGGGTTTTTTCAGGGAAACATCTGTGTGTTCTGCATGAGGGCAGACCCCCGGTGCCTGAGGGGGGGGACCCCCCAGGACCGGGCCCAACGACTGAATCATGTTTATTTTTGCTTTCCCAGGGGAACATCCGCGTGTTCTGCCGCGTGCGGCCGCTGCTGCCCGAGGAGCGGGAGCGCCAGCGGGGGATGCCCCACCTGCACTTCCCGCCGCAGGACGCCCGCAGCCTCGTGCTCACCCGGCCCGACGACGTGAGTGCTCCCCACCCTCCTCCTCCTCCTCCTCCAGAGCTGCCCTCCCGCCCTCAAAGCGACCAAAATTCCTCTTTTCCTCTCTCAGAAATGGCCTTTTCCCTCAAAAACCCCCTATTTCCCAAGAATCCCTCTATTCTGGCCTCAAAATTGGCTTTTCTTCCCCTCAAAAATCCCCAGTTTCCCTAAAATTTCCTTTTTTCCACCCTTAAAATGGCCTTTTCCCCTCAAATTTCCCACAAAAATGGCCTTTTCCCTTCAATTTTCCCTCAAAAATGGCCTTTCCCCCTCAATTTTCCCTCAAAAATTGCCTTTTCCCCTCAATTTTCCCACAAAAATGGCCTTTTCCCTTCAATTTTCCCTCAAAAATGGCCTTTTCCCTTCAATTTTTCCCCAAAAAATGTCTTTTTCCCTCAATTTTCCCTCAAAAATGGCCTTTTCCCCTCAATTTTCCCACAAAAATGGCCTTTTCCCCTCAATTTTCCCTCAAAAATGGCTTTTTCTCTCAATTTTCCCTCAAAAATGGCCTTTTCCCCTCAAAAATTGCTATTTCCCAGAAATGGTTCTTTGCCCCTCTCAAAAATGGGCTTTTTCCTTCTAAAGTTCCTGATTCCCTGAAAATTCCCTTTTTCCACCCTCAAAAATGGCCTTTTTTCCTTCAGAAGTTCCAGATTTGCCATAAATTCCTTTTTTTCCCCTCACAAATGGCCTTTTTGCTTCAAGAAATCCCTGATTTCCCAAAAATTCCTTTTTTCCACCCTCAGAATTGGCCTCTTTCTCTCCAAAATGGACTTTTTCCCTCAAAAGTTGCTGTTTTCCTTTTTTCCCCCCACAAAAACTGCCTTAATTCCCTCAAAAATGGCATTTTTCCTTCAAAAAAAATCCCTGATTTATCAAAAATTCCTTTTTTCCACCCTCAAAAATGGCCTTTTTCCCTCAAAAATTCCAGATTTCTCAAAAATTCCTTTTTTCTGCCCTCAAAAATGGCCTTTTTCCCTCAAAAATCCCTGATTTCCCCAAAAAATGCCTTTTTCCCCCTCTCAAAAATGGCCTTTTCCCCTCAAAAATGGCATTTCTCCTTCAAAAAATCCCTGGTTTCCCAAAAATTCCTTTTTTCCCCGCTCAAAATCTGCCTTAATTCCCTCCAAAATCCCAATTTCCAAAAAAAGTCCTTTTTTCTTCCTAGAGATACCTGGGTTTTTTCCAAAAATGTCATTTTTTTTCCCTCAAAAATGTTTTCTTTTCCCCTCAAAACTTGATCCTTCTTTTTTTTCCTCCCCAAGATGTGCTTTTTACTCCTCAAAAATGTCATTTTTACCCCAAAAAGTCCTTTTTTTTCCCCAAAAACTCTCTTTTTTTTCTCACAAAAATATCCTTCTTCACTGAAAAAATGTTCTTTTTACCCCTTAAATGTCTTTTTTTTCCCTCAAAAATCCCCTGTTACCCAAAAAGTTTTTATTTCCTGCAAAATGTCCTTTATTTCCCCTCAGAAATGCACTTTTTTCCCCTCAAAAATCTTGTTTTCTATAAAGTATTTTTCCCCTGAAAATATTCTGCTTTCCTCTCAAAAATGGCCTTTTTCCCCAAAAAATGTTCTTTCCCCCTCAAAGCTGTCACTTTTCCCCTCAAAAATACCTTTTTTCCCCTCAAAAATATCCTTTTTCCCCCAAAAATATAACTTTTTCCCCTCAAAAATATCATTTTTTCCTTTAAAAACACCACTTTTTCCCTCAAAAATTTTCTTTTTTCCCTCAAAAATATCATTTTTTCCCCTCAAAAATACCCTTTTTTCCTGAAAAACCCCTCTTTTCTAAAAAAATACCATTTTTCCCCCCAAATATCCTTTTTTCCCCCCTCAAAAATGTTTTTTTTTCCCTCAAAAATTTGGGTTTTTTTTGCCTGGATAAATGGATTTTCCTCCCAAAATCAGCTTTTTTCCTTCCCAAAATGGTTTTTTTTCCCTTCAAAAAAGGCCTTTTGTCCCCAAATTCCCATTTTTCCCCAAATTCCCATTTTTTCCCCCAAATCTCCTTTTTCTCAAGAAAACCCAAACTCCTTTCCAAACCAAATCCCTTTTTTTTCCCTTTCCCACCATTTCTTCCCTTAAAATTCTTTTTCCCCCTAAAACTGATATTTTCCCCCAAACCTGCCCCTTTCTCCCCAAAAAACGACATTTATTTTTTGGGGCTGAAAAATCAGCGATTTCCCCCCAAAATGGGCTTTTCCCCTCCAAAAAAATCACATTTTTCCCCAAAAAAAGCCGCTTTTTCCTCAAAAAAAAGCCTTTTTCCTCCCAAAACCTCATTTCCTTTGCCCAAACCCCATTTCCTTTGCCCAAACCCCATTTCCTTTGCCCCAAACCCCATTTCCTTTGCCCAAACCCCATTTCCTTTGCCCCAAACCCCATTTTTTTGCCCCAAATCTCCTTTCCCCCCCCCCGTTGCCGTTTTTGCCCAAAGCTGCCATTTCTGGCCCCGCAGTCGCAGCTGGGGCGGGAGCGGCGCGCGGAGCTGCGCTACGACTTCAGCTTCGACCGCGTCTTCCCGCCCGGCGCCTCCCAGCAGGACATCTTCCAGGAGATCCAGCTGCTCGTGCAGGTGGGAGCCCCAAAAAACCCAAAATTCCACCCAAAAATCCAACCCCAAATCCCAGCAGATCTTCCAGGAGATCCAGCTGCTCGTGCAGGTGGGAGCCCCAAAAAACCCAAAATCCAAAAATTCCACCCAAATCCTGCTCAATTCCCCTCAAATTCCACCCAAATTCCACCCAAAAATCCAACCCCAAACCCAACCCCAAATCCCGTCAGGACATCTTCCAGGAGATCCAGCTCCTGGTGCAGGTGGGAGCCCCAAAAAACCCAAAATCCCACCCAGAAATCCCACGTGTCCCACCTGGGTCCCAAAATCCCCGAAATTCCACACCAAAATCCAACCCCAAACCCAGCAGGACATCTTCCAGGAGATCCAGCTCCTGGTGCAGGTGGTAGCCCCAAAATCCCCAAAATTCCACCTAAAAATCCCACATGGCCCACCTGGATCCCAAAATCCCCGAAATTCCACCCAAATCCTGCTCAGTTCCACCCAAACCCAACCCCAAATCCCAGCCGATCTTCCAGGAGATCCAGCTGCTCGTGCAGGTGGGAGCCCCAAAAAACACAAAACTCCACCTAAAAATCCCACATGTCCCACCTGGGTCCCAAAAACCCCGAAATTCCACCCAAATCCTGCTCAATTCCACCCAAACCCAACCCCAAATCCCAGCCGATCTTCCAGGAGATCCAGCTGCTCGTGCAGGTGGGTGAAACAAAATCCCCAAAATTCCACCCAAAAATCCCACACGTCCCACCTGGATCCCAAAATCCCCGAAATTCCACCCAAATCCTGCTCAATTCCCCTCAAATTCCACCCGCCGCGCCCTCAGTACGGCTTCTCGGCCAGCTTCCTGGAGATCTACAACGAGGGGCTGCGCGACCTGCTGCTGCCCAGGGGCGAGCGCGCCTCCGAGCTGGAGATCCGGCGCCTGGCGCCCGACAGCGACGAGCTGCACGTGCCCAACCTCACCTGGGTGCCCGTGGACAGCGAGGAGCAGGTGGGCGTCGGGGATTCGGGGCAGATTTGGGGAATTCTGGGGGTTTTGGGGGAAATTTGGGGATTCTGAAGGGGGAATGTGGAGCTGCATGTGCCCAACCTCACCTGGGTGCCCGTGGACAGCGAGGAGCAGGTGGGCGTCGGGGATTTGGGGCGGATTTGGGGAATTCTGGGGGTTTTGGGGGGAAATTTGGGGGTTTTAGGGGAAAATTTGGGGATTTTAGGGGGAAATATGGAGGTTTTAGGTGGAAATTTGGGGATTTTAGGTGGAAATACGGAGGTTTTAGGTGAAAATTTGGGGATTTTAGCTGGAAATCTGGGGCTTTTAGGGTGAAATTTGGGGGTTTTAGGTGGAAATTGGTTTTAGGGGGGAAATTGGGGATTTTAGGTGGAAATTTGGAGGTTTTAGGTGAAGATTTGGGGATTTTAGGTGGAAATTTGG